ACTGGTGCGTTCAGGTTACCGCTAACTATCGACGGCATTATGCTGGCGTCGACAACCTATCACTCAATACTATCACCGAGGACAGGAAAAACCTAGCAAACTACCTTGAGATTTTCAGTTCCATATACCGCCATATTTTCTGGGTTCACGACGGCCATTTTGTCGCTCGAAGGTCCCATCTTACACGTTCCAGAAGGATGATAAGCCGATGCAGATGCATATCTGCAGTAAAAAGGTGATGGAAAATAAATACCGACAAAAGAAAAAAAACGTCGTTTTTTACAGAGATCAAAGAACTTGCTCACTTTACAAAGTTGTCAATGTCCGCATCTGACTTGCAGTCTTTTCCAGGGGCAAGTTCATCACCTCGGAATGGATCAAAAGATTTTTGAGCAAAAAGTTCACGAGAAAGTTGAACGCATTTCCTAAATAAGCCAGGTATAGCTGAAAATTGATCATAATCAAAATCAATTCTCACTGTCCTGAAGCAAACTCGGCGCACTTACCTAAACTCTTTCCAATCATCATCATGATCCATATAATTTGGATCGATGATTGGATGCCTTCGTGGATCTTTAGATGACAGTTTGATGCATCCCCTCGATTGTGTCCTCATATTCCCTACATGCACCTGAGACAAAAAAGGAAACTTTCATGGATGGCAGAATATAATTCGGCATACCTGAAATGCATGACACTTTCCCACTGTTCTGCCATCATCGTGAACAGTTGACGGCAAGAAATGGAACTGTATGTTTGGATGTTCTACGGTATCGTTTGACCTTGCAAATCCACCCGTTTCAAGATGGCTTGAAGCTCCGAGACCTGTCTGAGTAGCGAACCATTCTGGAAAAAGATGGGTCTCAAGCAGCTTTCACGCAAAAGGCTGTCCACTTACGCAAGCCAGTCTTAATCATATGATGCGGGAATCTCCAAGAACTCTTATTGTAGAGAGTTATTGGTTGGCTACACTTCTGTTGCACATAAATCTCCAAGTGATCCTATAAATCAACTATCTATCCAATCTAAATCGTAACGCCAATTCAAAAAGGTAGCGAGGACCGCAATGCGGTTCCGGCGCGCCGTATGCGAATTTCACCTTTGAGGGCCGGGCAAACTTCACGCGATTTCAACCACGGCGCGATTTGGCAACATTCCAACTGTCCATAACTCA